AAACGTTCATGTCAAACCATACAACATCTGAATGGGCTTCGATGGTACTGGCCCTGATGAGCCTTCCTGGTGCCTACATGCCACATGGGCACTTCTACTTGCCTCCCGCCTTCTCAGGCACGCACACGATGTCCTACATGGCCTGAGGGAGGAGGAGGATGAGGAGGAGGAGGGGGTGGAGGAGGAGGAGGAGGATGAGGAGGAGGAGGAGGAGGACCAGTGTAAAATCAAGAGGCATCAGCGATGTTGGAATTAACCCTCCCTCCAAGCTCCCCCCTCGTAGGCCCCCTACAACGGTTCATTTCCATTGAGGGAACTGTCTCGTTGGAAGACAACCGTTTGAAGATCCTGAAGCATGCCAAAACATTGTTCTCGAGATTTCAACGCCACGTATCAACCTGACTGCTGCGTCTTGACGATTGGGAATGTTCCAGAGCGCCATTTTGAGACTTCAACACTGCGTGTCAACATAACTGCTGCACCCGCATGATCCTGAATCCTTCCAACACAATTTCTGGTACGATGATCCTGGGAATTCGTGAAACTCTTGCAAAGTTTGAAAACGAATGTGCGCGGCGCTAAGGCGAGAGCCACATTTTGAAAACGACCCGCCCTCCATCTGTGACATTGTTGTCACTCTTCAAGCTTCAGAGTCGTAAGTGGTGGGGAAGTCTTCGGCGGAACGCTCGGCCCGCCCTAAAAACTGGCCTCGGGGTGCGACAGGGAGGAGCTCTCCACAAGGAGAAGGAATGGTGGAGGCGGAGGAGGATGACCTCCTCGCCTCTGGCCCTCCCCCGGCCGCCTCGCGCCTCGCGCTCCTCTGCCCCCGTGCCTCGTTGCCCCCGCGCGCCCCGCCGTCGCTCGACCGCCTCCTGTCCGCTTGCGGCCGCAGAGTGAACAGGAGTGCCACGTGGACAGCCTCAAGTCGGGCCCGTCCCTCTACAGGAGGAATATTCAACGACAGTTCAAACAAAAGTATGAGGACGATTTTTGTTGGTCATTCTTGAGTGCTTTAGGTTGTTTTGTCGACTATGTTTGATTTTTTGTCCAAAATCGGCCTGTAGTGGGACAGGCCCGACTTCAGGGTAGCCAGTGCACGTAGATGCATCTGATGGCATCCGGCCCTTTTCGGTATACCTCTTGAGGTTCTCTCCGGCACTCGCGGGGGCCCCTCTGGAGCCATCTCGGGTCTGTCCAGAATCTTCGCAGGCCCGTTCGAATCCGAAACGGTGCAGGGGGCAAACACACGCATGACACATGTATATATATATATATATATGTGTGTATATATATAGTGATCTTAGGCCTCTCGGGGTGCTCTCTTGGGGACTGTCGGGATCATCGCTGGAGGCGCGTTTTAGATGATCCATCTTGGACCGTCTTGCCTGGTTTGGGCCAGGTCCATCTGTGGCCGTCCTGGCGTTTTCTCGGGACGTTCCGGGCCCCCAAAAATGCAGCGGAATTGTGTTGACCCGGCGTATTTGCGCTAACATGCTGTTGCCACTCCTTCTGCGTGTAGCCGACAAATTGGATGGCGTGTCAATGACCGATTGCGCGGTTCGATTCGAACGGTCGCGCGAAACATGGTTCCGAATGACATACGTCCAGTGGGCTTCGGCCCATCCCGCCACCGAGCTTGCGATGTGCGCCAGAGATATTTTGCATACCTGTTGGGGCCCGTTAGGGGACGTCCAATGGCATCAGGGGTCATCCAATCGGGCGACCGCGGCGACGACGACCACGGCAGCGTCGGCGACGGCGGCGACGGCGATGGCGACGACGACAGCGACGGATGCCAGCGACGACGATCACCAGCACCTCGGCGGCGGGGACGGTGACGACGTCGATTACGGAAGGGACGGCGGCGGCAGCTTGTGCAATGACGGCGGCGGCAGCGGCAACGCCGACGACGATGACGGCGGCGACTACAATGATCGCGGCGGCGAGGCCGGCGTCATCGGCGGGCGGCGGTGGAGCAGGAGGAGCAGAACGAAAAGGAAAACAGGCGGAGCTCAGGAGCAACACATTAAATAGCATGATGATAAAAGGGTCGAGGTGGACGAGGAGGACAAGGACGACGATGCGGAAGACGACGACGACGATGACGACGATGGCGGCGGCGGCGAAGGAGGCCAAACGGAGCGGTGAAAGGCTGTGTAAGAGATGCGCAGAATTGAAGGAGAAAGCGGCGCTGATAGCGAATTGCGAGACGGCGAATCGCGATTTGAAAGCAGAGGCGAAAGGAAGCACAGGCAGGGTCTCCCGCTCGAGACTCCCGCGCAATCCACTCGTACGCGAGGCTCCAGCTCGAGACTTCCTCCAAATTCAAGCCCGATGTGCCCAAGCGTGACGATGGTTGCAGGCATTCCGATGACCCGCTCGGATTACCAATATGAGCCGTGTTCCCCATAGTGAGGGGACTGCCAATCGAGACGTCCAAACGATTTATTCACGGACGAGGCCCCCGCTCGAGACTTTCCTGCGATGAGTGTGCGACTGAGTGTGTGAGTGTGTAAGTGAGCGCGACGGTGACGACGACGGCGACGACGACGATGATGATGATGATGATGATGATGATGATGATGATGATGATGATGATGATGATGATGATGATGATGATGATGATGATGATGATGATGATGATGATGATGATGATAACGCTGCTGATGATTCTACAGGCTTACGCCACATCCGCCGACCCCTTCTGTGAGCGTTCCGAGGCCAGGAGTTTCTGGCCAGCGGCGTCTTGTGTGAGGGTGCGGTGTCGCGCGCGGGTGGTGGCAGATACGTAGGGGGTCCAAATGTTTGCGTGATCCCGGTGGTCTGGGGCGTGCTTTCCGAGCGCCTTGCGTGCTGTGCACCCGGGTGCGGGGTGTCCTTCTGGGAGGTCGGCCTTTCGACCCGCAACCAAGTGGAGGACCACCGGAAGACGGAAGGAGCAAGAGTAGTGTGCGGAAGCTGTGATCAGCGAGGCACCACCGCGAAAAATGTGGCAGATGAGTCGAAACGGGTGAAGAGGCTGTTGACGTTCGCAGCGCGCACGAAACAGTTCGCGCGGCAGTAGCACATTAGCGCCGAGCAAGATAGTGAGCACGTCGCGAGGAAGAGTAAGGCTGTATGCGCGGAATGCATTGCAGTTGACTCGACGGCTCGCAATACGGAAGCGTCTGGGGGTCTTTTGGGGGCCTCCTGGGGGCCTCTTGGGGGCTCCTTGGGGCGTCTTGGCGGCCTCTTGGGGCCTCTGGCGGCCTCTTGGGGCACTCTTGGGGCCCCCTGGGACTCGCGGGGGCGGAAAGCTCGATTTTTGAATTTTTGGTTGCCCTCTTGGGCCCCTCTTGGTGCCGTCTTGGATCCTTTTTGGGCCGTCTTGGGGACCTCTTGGGCCGTCTTGGGGCCATCTTGGGCCGTCGCGGGGCCGTCTTGGGGGCCTCTTGGGCCGTCTTGGGGCGGTCTTCGGGGCCTCTTGGGCCGTCTTGGAGCGTCGGAAAGCCCACGAGGCGAATTTGTGACACATATTCGTTTTACAAAGGAAATGAGCAAACTTTTGCGTTCCCTCTTGGGACGCATCTTGGAGGCTTCTTGGGGGCGTCTTGGGCCATCTGGAGGCCATCTCGGGTGTCTTCGATCGCTCTTGGACCGTGTGGGACCATGTTGAGCTCTCTTGGAAGCCACTTGGAGCGCTCTTGGGGCCGTCTTCGGGGCTCTCTTGGGCCGTCTTCGGCGCCTCTGGAGCCGTCTTGGCGCCCTCTTGGGCTGTCTTGGGGTCCTCTTAGAGGCTTCTTGGACCCTCTGGATACGATTTCTCCATAGCCAGCATGTGTTCCCGATTTGACAAATAACGTAGGAAGACTTCTTTCTGAGCTGTTCCTGCCAGGACTGTTGCGGGGACTGCTTCACCCACAGTGCCTTTACCCACGGAGTTTTTGTCAGCATGGCGTGCCGTTTTGCCGCTGGTTCCAAGAAAAGGGGGGGTGCGCGCGCCCAAACCTGGCACACGGATACCGCCTTGAACCACAGGAAAAGGAGGATGAGGAGGAGAAGGCGGAGGAGGTGAAAAAGGAGGAGGAGGAGGTAGGAGGAGGAGGAGGAGGAGGAGGAGGAGGAGGAGGAGGAAGAGGAGGAGGAGGAGGAGGTGGAAGACGAGGAGGAGGAGGAGGAGGAGAACGAGGGAGGAGGAGGAGGAGGAGGAGGAGGTGGCCCACGGGAGGATATGCGACGCTCGTGGCGATGCGAAGAGCCATGTCATGGCCAGGCTCGCGCGTGCGAGTGCATGCTGGCTGCGCGGCGGCGGTTGGCTTGGGCGTCGCGCGCACTGCCCTGAGTGGGCCCGCCCTGCTGCTCGCACAGGATAGTTTGTTTGTCGGGTCCACGATCAGATTCAGATGGTTGGACTGTTGGCGCGCGTAGGATTGACATGCCCAGCTACGCTGGTCTCTTTTTCCAGCGTGTCAGATGTCTCCTGATTGTCTCCACCCCCTCCTTTCCGTCGCATGACTCTTCCCCCCAACTCTCCCTCATCGTCCCCGCTCCCGTCCGAGCTCCCCTCCGTCTCCCCCCCTTCCCTCCTCCCTCTGCGGGCAAAACTTGTGTCCATATCCACTGCAGCTTGGGGTTTCGGGCTCCCTTCCCCAGGAAGCCGAGGAGCACTGGAAATGGATAAAAATCAGGCCCCTACTGGAGGTTCGAATGGTATCCATATCCAGTGTGCCTCGGCCTTGCGGCGCCCCTTCCACGAGAGTCCAAGACGCCCTGGATATGGATAGACGCCCTGGATATGGATATAAATATCCCCTCCTCCCCAGACCCCCGACGTCATGAATTTTTCATGACGCGACCCCCAGAGGTCCAGACCCATTCCCCGGGACCGGTTTTTTATCCCGAGTAGTTTTTTGACGGTCCCGAGGCCCGGTAAGGGCCCTCAGAGGCCGAAAATAGCGACAAACCTCCCGTCGTGATTTTTTCATGACTCGAGGAGGTCTGGGGTCCCCCCCTGGGCGGAGGTCTGCTTCTCGGCCTACAGCCTCACGATCATGCCTTCCGCCCCCGCGGGGGACGCGGCGAGCCCGCAGGCCGGCCCCCCCGGGGGAGGGGGCGGCCGAACGCGCTCTCGGCACGGGGGCTCTCCCTCCTCCTCCCTCCTCCTCCTCCTCCTCCTCCTCCCCTCCTCCTCCTTCCTCCTCCTCTCCTCCTCCTCCTTCTCCTCCTCCTCCTCCTCTCCTCCTCCTCCTCCCTTCCTCCTTCCTCCTCCTCCTTCCTCCTCCTCCCTCCTCCCTCCTCCTCCCTCCTCCTCCTCACCTCCTCCTCCTCCTCCTCCCTCCCTCCTCCTCCTCCTCCCTCCTCCTCCCCTCCGCTCCCTCCTCCTCCTCCTCCTCCTCCTCCTCCCTCCTCTTCCTCCTCCTCCTCCTCCTCCTCCTCCTCCTCCTCCTCCTCTTCCCGCGGGTGCCCCCTTGTTGCCTCCGCGAAGCGCTCCCTGCTTGCGCGCCGCCTGGCTCCAGACCTCGGGCCCTTCGCGCCCTTGCCCAGGAAGCCCTTGGGGATCGTCGTCCTTCGCCCTTGCCCTTGCCCATCATCGTCCTTCACCCTTGCCCTTGCCCTTGCCCATCGTCCTACGACCCCTCGATCGTCGTCCTCCGCCTCTGCCCAGGAAGCCTCGCGAGGGCAGGGGGGGGCGGGCGGGGGCCGTCGACGAGGCGCCTCGTCGAGGGTTCGGGGGGGTCCTTTTCGAGCAGTAATTACCAGGCAGCACCTGGCATGCTGCCACGCCTCAATGGTGACGGGGGGGCACGGTGGTGGACAGAGGGGTGCGATCTCGCTAGCAGGTAGACGTGCAGCTCGATGGCAGAAAGACTTAGCTGCCTCGATACGCCCGTTTTGATACGCAATACGTCCCGTGTTCAAGACGTCCGTGTTGCGAGTTAGCTCCACGTATTGGGCCAAGTTTTGGCGAATGTATCGCGTCGGACCTACGTTTTCAGCCTATGTGTTGAGCTCCGTATCAACACGCTACGTGTTGCGTGTTGCGTATCGGGGCAGCTAAGCAGAAAGGTTGGTACAGCGTTGGTTTCTCGGCTATACTGGTGTACGTACAGCATCTGTATACGTAATATAGACGCCCGGCCCCCTCCCGGGGCGTCCTCCACCTCGCTCACATCTGGGTTACGTTTCCGGTACCGCGCTTCCTGGCCTCCTGGGGAGCTTCCCAAATGCCCCAAAACATCCCAAGGCGACCCCAAGAAGCCCCCAGAACGTGAAAGAACGGCCCAAGACGTTCCCAGGCAACCCAGGATAGCTTTCGGGCGGTTCTCTAGGCTCCCAGGAGGCATCCAAGAGACCTCAAGAGAGCTCCGAGAGGCCTCCCGAGAGCGCCCGGAGAACCTAAACTTGTCAATTTTGATGTTATTTGTTTGATAGGTTTTTTGACCTTCTCACCACTTCATGCTTCCAACGCTCCAGGACGGCCGAAAAGGCCTCCAAGACCGCCCCAAGACCGCCCAAGAAGCCACCAAGACGGCCCCAAGACAGGCCAAGACGGCGCCAAGACTGCCGAAGAGGCGCCCAGGACAGCTCCAGACCACCCCAGAGCAGGCCCAAGATGAGCCCAAGAGCGGGAGCAGGAAGCCTCCAGAGACCTCCGAGAGGACTCGGGGATCCCCCAGAGGCCTTCAACACACCCCAGACCCCTGAGAGGCTCCCAAACAAGCCCCGACGAGGCCCCCCGAACAGCCCAAGAGAGCTTCGAGAGCCGTCCCGAGGGAGCCCGAAGAGGGTAAAGTCGTTGATTTCCAGTGGTTTTTGTCGACGTGTTTCGCCTTTCACGTTTTCCCGCTCGCTTTCAACGCTCCAAGACTGAGAAATCTTTTTTTTTAAGAACATATTTCAGATCATCTTTTTTTCCAAGTTCAACAAATTCGCCCCCCCCTCCCGGGGGTCCCACACCTTCCCGGAACATCTGCGGAACGCTCCCGGCACCGCATTTCCCGCCCTCCCGGGGAGCCCCCAGCACGCCAAAGGACAGCCCCAGGCGATCCCAAGAAGCGCCTCCGCAGCCGTTTTGGCTCGAGCACCCGCGCGCGCGCGCAGGCGTCCGAGCGCCTGGGGGACCCGCGAGCATCAGCAGAAGTGCCCCCCGAGCAGGTGCAGGGCGCGCCTCGCCTCCGCGGGCGCCCCGGAAGAAGCCGGCGCGCCCCAAAGGGGCTGCTGCGGCCCGCGGCGGCCGCGCCCAGCGACGCAGACGCGGAGCTCGAGGCACCCTCTACGGACAGCGAGCCGAGCAGCCCGGCGCCCAAGCGCGCCGACTCCGCGCGGGCCGGGTGCAGCTCCGGGTCGCCGCCGCCGCGGGCCGCCTCCACGCGCAGCGGATCGAGCGGCACGACGGGGCCCGCCTCCTCGGGCACCAGGACGTCGAGCTCGAACTCGAGGTCGCAGCGCCACTGGAAGATGATGTACCACCAGCAGCAGCGGAGCACCAGCAGCTCCAGCGCCGAGGACGTGACTTGGAGTCGAGGGTGGACGACTGGCGACCGCCAGCCTCAGCCAGATTCGGGCGACGACCAGCAGCCCGCGTCCCGCGGCCTCTGCCGCGGCCGGGCGGCGCGGCGGCGGGCGCTGCGCGAAGCGGCCGCGTGGCGCAGCGCGGCGGCCGGCAGCGCCGCTTCCAGCGGCGGCGCCTCCGCAGAGTCGGGGCGGGCGGCGGACCCCAGCGGGGGCGCCGAGCAGCGGGCCGCGCGCGGTCAGCCAGCGCGGCGGCGCGGGACCCACACCGACCCGCATGCCGCGGCAGTCGCCGACCTTGATGCCGGCGCAGGCGGTGCTGCTGGACAGGGTCAGGACGTCCAGTGGTTCTCGCTGTAGCAGCCTCGCCCCTCGCGTGCTCGCCAGGAGGAGCCCCGACGTTTTCGGCGCGCCGATCCAAAGAGTGCAGATCGGACAGCTCTCGCACCGCCTATTGCAGCTGGTGGAGAGAGGTCAAGTGACACGGGAGGCGACGCTGAGGCACCCTGGCGTGGCTTCCGCTGGTCTCGTTCTGCAGCCTCCAGTTCAGAGGCAGAGGGGGAGGGTGACCGACCGAAGGAGTGTCGCCGCCACGGGCCGGCCGTGCCAGAGGCGTGCGGCCATGCGCCGCATCTATAGCCTCTGTGTTCTGCTGGATTTTGAATGCCCCAACTCATGGGGAGTTGCTTTAGCATCGGGTTTCCTCATATGGAGTTTCCCCTTTGAATTTTGAATGCCCGTCACTTCGCCAGGCTGTTCCTCAATGCTGTCAGGGTGCTAGGCCAGACAGCGCCTGGCTTTGCCACGCCGTTCTGCAGGATGTTGTTTGCAACCCATCAAGCAAACGTGCGGTATGCGGGTCTGAACTCGGCGGCGAGCGAGGGGGGGCAGTGGGAAGGGGATGGTCTTCTCAAACGGCTCGGAAGCCCCCCAGGCTTCTTAGAAGTAACCCCACAGAGGACTTCTCGGAGAACCCGAGGGCATCTGAGAAGTCCCACCGCCTTCTGAGAAAGCCTTTCTGGAGGGAAAAACATACAGACACAATTCATCGTCGATGTCTCAGAAAATATGGGAAACTATGGGAAGTGGGGGGGGAAGAAAGGAGGAGGAGGAGGAGGATGCTACAACCGACCGACCGTCAAGCCGCCCAGGAGTGCCCAGGTCGTACGGGGGCCGCGCGTGAGCGCGCACAACGAGCCATCATCGTCCTGTGCTCGTGCTGCGCAGGCACCTGTCGACTCGGGATCCCGCAAAGGGGTGTGTGCCCCGTGTGTGTGTGTGTGTGTGTGTGTGTGTGTCTGTGTGTCTGTGTGTGTGTGTGAGAGAGAGGGTTCGATCGGTTTTTGCACAGAACCGCCGCCGGCAGCTCCCGATAGTTGCCGATAGGCATGCGGGGGGCACCAGCGGATCGAACTGTCTGGTGCACCAGCGGATCGAACTCATGCCCCCCCTCAGCGTCCCCCCCTCCCCCCCCGTTGGTGGATCCCGATGTTGATGTGCGCTGGCCCAGCTCTGCCCGCGCTGCCCCCCGTTCCTGGGAGGCCGCCTGCCCCGCCCCGTCCTCATGCTGCGCGCCACGTCGGCGCGACTCGGCTGGCAGGGGCTGGAGGCGAGGCGCAGGAGGCGGGGTCGGGCATAACCAGGGCCCCAGGTAAGAGGACCCGGTTAGCAGTAGGGCCCTGGCGCCCCTGAATTGCCCAGAATCACTCGGCCAGGTCTGCCGTAGCCGGTGTTTTTTCGGGTGATGGTGTTGCCGGTTCGTGGAACGGGGCTCGGGCCGGACGAAAGGGGGGGGAGTGGCAAAGGGGGGGTCACGAAATCTGCTGCATGCAGCCGGTTTCGGCGCCGGGAAAATCAGCTACGTGAGCTGATTCTCACCCCCCCCCCCTTTGCTATCCCCCCCTTTCGCCCAGCCCGAGGGGCGGGGCGTCCCCCAGCACACATCACTGAACCAGGTCCCACGAGACCCAGCTCTGCCAACGCCCGACAGGAGGCGGGGTCGGAGTGCACGGTCAGTGTTCAGCGCGCCCAGAAGGTTCAGGAGGGGACAAAAACACACAGACACACTTAATCGTCGATGCCCCAGAAAATATGGATGGGAAAATATCGGAAGTGGGGGGGAAAACAAAAAGCCAGAAACTATTGAAAAAATATTGGGTATCCTTTTTATTTGTGTGTAGTTATTTGTGTGTCCCATGGCCCCTTCAAAGATGCGGTCCACAGCATCGGGCGCCGCTGCCATGGCTCATCGGCGAGCCGCGGCCAGGACCAGCAACAGCATTGCCAGCGGTACCGTCGTTCGTCTGTCATTGGAGGGCGGCATCCTGGGAGCATTATAGGTCGTAGCGTTGTGTCCTTGACGTGCTGCGCAGGCAGGTCCTGATGTGCGCTGACCTGGTCCTGTCTGCCGACGCTTGGAGGTTGGATCTCTTCACGGCCGCCGTCCAAGAAGAGGCAGTGCGACGCTGCGCTGCGGTGCTCCCCGTGAGGCACCGCGGCGGCAGGTACAGATGGATCAGATCCTTCACACCGTGGAAGGTCGGCATGCCATCTTAAGCAACGTGGAGCGCGGAGGCGGGGTCCCGCGCGGAGGAGGAGGATGAGGAGGAAAAGGAGGAGGATGAGGAGGAGGAAAAGGAGGAGGAGAATGAAGAGGAGAGGAATGAAAAGGAGCGGAATAAGGAGGAGGAGGAGGAGAAGGATGGACGGGATGAGGGACGAGGGGGGAAACAACGGGAGGCTCAGGTGGGTGGCAATGGGGGGGGGACCTCGGCGCAGATCCTCCTCCTCCTCCTCCTCCTCCTCCTCCTCCTCCTCCTCCTCTCCCCGCGGATGCCCCCCGGTTGTCTCCGCGAAGCGCTCTCTGCGTGCGCGCCGCCTGGCTCCAGACCTCGGGCCTTTCGCGCCCTTGCCCAGGAAGCCCTTCGGGATCGTCGTCCTTCGCCCTTGCCCTTGCCCATCATCGTCCTTCTGGAGGCTCGCCTGAAGTCGGGCACGTCTCTCCACAGGAGGAATGTCCCAACGCAGTCCAAAAGCAGTCGTGGGACGACGTTTTTGATCATCTTGTGTTGAGGACTGTCTGGCATTATTTGCGGACTGTCTTTCATGTTCGTTCTTTTTTCGCTCCAAACTCCCCTGTAGGAGGACACGCCCGACCTAAGGCTCGTCGGCGACGGCGGGCGAGGGACGGCAACGCCGACCCCCGGGGAGGAGGGCGCCGCCGTCGAGTCCGCCGGCACCTTCCCTGCACAGGCGCCCCGCCCCTGCGCCGGCCGCCACGCGCGCGGCGCGAGAGAGCGCCGCGCGCGCGCGTGCGAGGCCACTGGCGTTGACGAACCCAGACATGATCGGGCCGAAAAAAAAACAATTGGACGGAGATTGATAGTTCGCCGCTTTCGGCCTCTAGAGGCCCTCGCCGGGCCTCGGTGCCGGCAGACAACGACTCAGGATGGCAAACCAGCCCCGAGGAAGGGGTCGGGATTTCCGGGGACGTCGCCCTCAGAACATCAGGACGGCGCATTTCTCGGCAAAAGCAACCTGGACCTGCTGTCAGGCAGGCCCATCATGTCACGCAGTGCTGACAGGCGTGCGTGGGAGCAGGGGAGGGGAAGGGCGGAGGGGTAGCTTTCCAAGGCCACCGCTGTATCCTTGTCTGGCCGGCCCAGGGCGAGAGCGCATCGCTCCAGACCGGTCCAGAACGCTCTCAGAGCGTTCGCTCCGGGACGCGCTGGAACGGCAGCAGCGCCCGATGCACGGTCCAGGACCGGCGGTTCTCTCCGAGATTCCCGAAGTATCCCCATTCAGGGGCAGCAATAGGGGGGGAATAGGCATATGGGGGGAAGCATCGATCCCCAAGCGCCCATTGATCGTCGATAGGGACCCGACAGCCCCACCCCGCCGAGGAAGGTGCGGATTCACGCTCGGGAGCCTATCGCCGATCTATCGGCGACGTATCGCCGATTCCAGGTTGATGCATCCCCCCCTATGCCTATCCCCCCGTGTCGTTGTAAAACGACGCGAAGATCGGGACAACATCGAATCGGGATAATTCGAAATCTCTGAGAATCGGCGGTTTGGAGGATGTATTGGGCGCCGCGGCCGCTCCAGAGCGTTCCGGAACGCTCTGAGAGCGCTCCGGAACGCTCTGGAGCGATTTATCCCGATCCTAGCCCTGTTTTATCATCCGAATTTGTCCTCGTCCTTTCTTCGTCTTGCCCTGCCCGTTGGCCCCATCCCAGCCCCTGGCCATTGGGCCACGGGCCCCGCTCTCTTCGGCTGCGGCGAGGGCGGCGAGTGCCCTTTGCGCATCCTCACCGCGCACCCATATCAGGAGGGGAGGAAACACACAGACACAATTAATCGTCGACTCCCAGGAAAATATGGGAAAATATGGGAAGTGGGGGGGAAGACAGAAACCCAAAACATATGGGAACATAGGGGGAATCTTTTTCTTTGTGTGTAGTTGTTTGTGTGTTCGTGGGCCCCTTCACCATCGTGGCCCGTTCGCGCTGTGGATCACCCCCAGGGGCGTGAGGCTGGTCGCGATCTGCGCGTCGCGGCCTCTCGTGCAGAGCTCGTTCCGATTTTGTCCGATCCGACTCGATTTCGAGGGCCTCCGATCCCGATTCGATTCGCTTTGGGGTTCCGATCCCAGACCTCCTCGAGTCATGAAAAAATCACGACGGGAGGTTTTTCGTTATTTTTGGCCTCCGAGGGCCCTTACCGGTCCTCGGGACCGTCAAAAAAGGACTCGGGATGAAAAAACAGTCCCGGGGAATGGGTCTGGACTTCTGGGGGTCGCGTCATGAAAAATTCATGACGTCGGGGGTCTGGGATCTGGGCTTCGATTTCTAATTGGAGGCGTACTCGCCTGCCGATTTCTGTCGATTCGGCTTTCCCCTATTCCTGGCGTCCCAGATCCCAGTCCGCTGCTAGCGTCCTCCTACTCGGGAAAAACCATCGATGTGCTCTTGCTCTGTGTTGTTGTTCTCTGGGAGGTCCTGAACCCCATTTGCTTTCTCCGCCTTCCTGCTTTATTTTTTTGTACCTACTTCTTCCGATCAAAGACGCCTACGGCGAATCACCGCCGCCTTAGAGGCCATCTTGGCCGTCTTGGAAGCATCTTGGAGGCCATCTTGGGCCATCTTGGAGCCGTCTGGGGCAGGAAAACCCTCGGCAACCACCTCCGGAAGAGCCTCCCAGGACCCCGGCCGGACGCGCCGGAGGCCCAGGGGGAGTTCTCTGGGAACAAAAAAAGCCAAAACCAAAGCCGAGAGGGTCCAGCACGCCAGGCACCCCTTCGATGAGTCGACAGGTGGCGGCGGATCGAAGACGCCTACGGCGAATCACCGCCGCCCCCTGCCTTTTTGGAAACGCCGATGTGGCCGAAAGTTGGACTAGAGCTTGGCCAAGCTATCGGACCATGAGTTCCCCGAGTCGGTTTGGAAAGCTTTCGGGGAACACATGGGAGAGAATGATTATGAACAGGAAGAGGAAGAGGAAGAAATAGAGTAGGAGGATGAGGGTTGTTAGGAGTCTCTTGGGGCACCCTTGGGGTCTGTTGGGGGCTTCTTGGGGGCCTCTTCGAGGCCTCTTGGAGGCATCTTGGGGGCCTCCTTGGGCCTCTTGGGGGCCTTTGGGGGCTTCCTGGGGGTCTCTTTGGCCGTCTTAGGGCGTTCCTGGTCCGTCTGACGCCGTCTGGAGCCGTCTTGGGGGCCTCTCTGGGCCGTCTTGGGGCCCTCTTGGGGCGCTTCAGGGCCGTCTTGGAGGCCATGTTGGGCGTCTTGGAGGCCTCTTGGGCCGTCTTGGGGCGCTCTTGGGGCCGTCTTGGGGGGCCCTTGGGCCGTCATAGGGCCTTCTTGGAGGCCTCTTGGGCGATCTTGGGGGCCTCTTGGGCCGTCGGAAGGCCGAAAAGAAGAAAACGCAAAAAACCTTCAAAAACCTAAGGAAAACCAATGATTTTGGCCTCTTCGGGCTCTCCTGGAGAACGTCTTGGAGGCCTCTTGGGCCATCTTGGAGGCATCTTGGGGCCATCTTGGCCGTCTTGGAGGGCATCTTGGGCCGTCTTGGAGGCATCTTGGAGCCATCTTACCCGTCTTGGAGGCCATCTTGGCCGTCTGGGAGGCATCTTGGAGGCCATCTTGGGCCATCTTGGCCGTCTTGGAGGCCATCTTGGGCCAAGTTGGGGCAACAAAGGCATTGACAGACGGATTTTGGGAAAATTACGGGTGGCCGGCGGGACGGGCCGAAGCCCACTGGGGAGTTCTTTTAGAAAAAGAACCAAAACCAAAACCTGAAACGTCCAGCACGCCGTGCACCCCTGCAAGCAGGGGGCGGCGGACTACTGGCCGTCGGCCCATCCCGCCACCGTGCCTGGGCGGTGGGTCGGAGTTGTCGGGCGTGCTTCTTTGGGGTCTCCTCGGAGCGCTCTCGGCGGGGGGCCTCCTCGGGGCCGTTTCGGGGGGGGGGGCGGGCCCCCTTGTGGGAGCCGCTTCGGGGGCCTCCTGGAGCGCCTCTTGGGGGCCTCCTGGGGGCCTCTCGGGGGCCTCTCGGGGGCCTCGTGGGGTGCCCGTTTGGGGGCCTTTTTGGGGGGCTCGTGGGGGCCTCTCGGGGCCTCGTCGGGCCCTCTCGTGGCACAGAGTTGGAGTGTTCGGTTCATGGTCCCCCTCTTGGGCCCCTCTTGGGACCGTCTTGGGGCGCTTTGGGGCCGTCTTGGGCGCCTCTTGGGCCGTCTTGGGGCCGTCTTGGCTTGGGGCGATGTGTGGTGCCTCTTGGGCTGTTATGGAGCGTCGGGAAGCCCAAAAAGTAAGAATGCCAGAAACCTTAAATTATCCGGGCGAACGACCCAACCATATGCAGTTGTGGGTACCGCAATTGTGAATATCTTCTTTGGTAAAGCTCCCCATGGGGCCACGAAGCGCTACACTGAGTGGGGGGGAGAAACGCATGCGGCCGGTAGCACTGGAGCCGTCGGTGGAGTTCCCTATGGGGCCAGGAAGCGCCGTATTGGATGGGTGAAAATACCAGATGTGGTGTGTGGGACGCATGCGGGCGGTCCCACTGGTGGTTTCGGTGGAGCTCCCTGTGGGGCCACGAAGCGTATGAGGGGTGTGCCAATTTGTTTTCCGGGACGCCCGCCGCTGCCGCCCCTCCACCTTCTGATAGCGTGATGGTGCGTTTGATTCGCTCCACCGGAGCTGCGCTCGCGGGGGATTCCCGAGCGCTGGGGCATGACCAGTCTACGGCCCGTTTTGACAGATACGTTTTAAGTGGGAATTCGTATCGGGAGGCCCGTGCTGGCTAGCGCATTCGCCAGACCGCAGGTCGACTCCCTCGTTCTCGTCCTCCTCTTCCTCGTCCTCCCTCCTCGTCCTCGTCCTTCTCCCCTTCCTCCCTGAATGTGGTGACGTTTACCCGGCCGGCCAGTTTACAGCCCTGCCGCTATCGAGTCATATGTGAACGCGGTTATAGCCCCCTTTGAAGGGAAGCGAATTTGGCGCTCAGTCGAGCTGGTCTTGCCCATGGACGGGCATCGTGTGCTTGTGTTCGCTGGGGGAGGAAAAAGAAAAAGAAAAAAAAAAAAAAAAAAAAAAAAGGTTTTCCGGGACGCATGCGGGCGGTCCCACTGGGGGCTTCGGTGGAGCTCCCTTTGGAGCCACGAAGCGTTGGTCCCACTGGGGGTTTCGGTGGAGGTCCCCATAGGGCTACGCAACGTTGTACTAGGTAGGTGAAAATGTCAAATTGGGCTTCCGGGACGCATGGGGACAGTCCCATTGAGGGTTTCGGTGGAGCTCCCTATGGGGCCACGAAACAGATGAGGGGTGTGCCAATTTGGTTTCGGGGACGCATGCGGACGGTCCCTTGGGGGCTTCGGTTGAGCTCCCTATAGGGCCACGAAACGCTGTACTGGGTGGGTGGAAATGCTAAGCTTGGGTTTCCGGGGCGCATGCCGACGGTCCCACTGGGGCCTCCGGTGGAGCTCCATATGGGGTCACGCAGCGCTGATACCAAATTGGGCTTCCAGGGCGCATGCGGGCGGTTCCTCTGGGGGTGTCGGTGGAGCTCCCTATGGAGCCACGACGCGTTGTACTGTGTGCGCGAAAATGCCAAATCGGGCTTCCGGGACGCATGCGGGCGGTCCCACTGGGGGCTTCGGTGGAGCTCCCTATGGGGCCACGGCGCGTTGTACTGTGTGCGTGGAGAAGTCTCCTGGGGAACCGCAGTTTCACCTGATTACGCTGCATACGCCCCAGAGGCGCGATGCTGGGTCGGGATCGATGGGTGCAAGCAACCCGACCAGGCCTGCCGGGCAGCAGGCTCGCGCATCGATCCTCCGTCCTTCTACTTCAAAGCCTGTCATGGTCCCTCTGGGCACCTAGCTCTCCCTTCCTCGTCTTTTCCCTGCGTTCCAACCCGTTGAACGCTGAGAAAAAAGCCAAATTGGGCATCCGGGACGCATGCGGGCGGTCCCACTGGGGGCTTCGGTGGAGCTCCCTATGGGGCCACGAAGCGCTGTACTCGGTGGGTGAAAATGCTAAGTTGGGCTTCCGGGACGCATGCGGGCGGTCCCACTGGGGGCTTCGGTGGAGCTCCCTATGGGGCCACAACACGCTGTACTGGGTGGGTGAAAATGCCAAATTGGGTTTCAGGGACGTCCCAGGAGCCCAGGAAACTGGCGACAGTTGCGCACTTGGCAGCCCACGAGGGTGCAACGATGTTCCTGGCTGGATTAGTTTGCATCTCCACTGCGCTGGGCCCCCTTTCGAGCCCATGAAAGTGGGAACAGTTGCGCACTTCGCAGCCCCCGCAGACAGGGTTAGAGGTACGGAGAGGAGGAGGATGAGGAAGAGAACGAGGAGGAAGTGGACGACGAGGACGAGGAGGCGGAGAAGAACGAGGAGGAGTGGAGACCATAGTGCTTTCTGCAAGACGAGAGCCTAACCGCAGGAGGGTTTTGGGACAACTGAGCTCAGCAGCCGACAGCATATGCTGTGAGGAAGAGGCGACAAGAGAAAATGGTATCCTGTCCCAGGAGGAGGGAGAGAGAGAGAGAGAGAGAGACAAGGGAGGTGAGGCGATGGCGTGCAGTGTCGGGGCATGCCCCCGCGCGTTCTGGAGGGAGGGAGTGCGCGCCCTGCGATCAGGGCTAATCAGTTGGAACGGCGGGATCCAGCCTGGACCATAGGCGGATCCACAAGCAACTGAGGTGGATCGGCCGCATGCCCACGTCTTCCTTGTTCACAACGAGAATTCAAACGCGGGAGGGTTGGGACGAATAAATGCAGGAGGGGGGAAAGGGAGAGAGAGAGAGAGAGAGAAGTGAGGTGGGGCGGTGGCGTGTAGTGGCGGGACATGCCCCCGCGCGTTGTCGAGGGAGGAGGTGTGCGCCCTGCGCGCAGGGCTAGCTGGCCGATCCCGGAACCCCTGACCCCCCCAAGCGCGCTCATGCATCGGGGGCACATTTTGTGCTCCCGCCGGCCTTCCGCCGCCGGAGCCGCCGCTGTTCTGCCTCCGCCGCCTTCCCGCCGCCTTCTGCCGCGGCGGAGGCGGCCACCCCTTCGGCCCTCGAGAGCGAAGCCCTTCTTGGGACTGCCCCAGCTGGGGCGGCGGGACAGCGGCTGCGGGCTGGCGTCCTTTCGAGCAGTGGCGAAGCGTCCCGGCTCGCCTATAACCCCACCAAACAATGTTCTAAGAACCTTTTTGTGGTACCCACGAAATGTTCTTTGAACATTTCTGGCGGAGTCTGTCTTGTTTTAACACGTCGGGTTTATGTTCTAAGAACATTGTTTTTGTTCTTAGAACATTTTTGGGGTTCTAGGAACATGTCGTGGCAGGGCTATAGGAATGCCGGGACGGTCGGTCCCTGCCCAATCCTTGACCGCCCGGCTCGCTGCCGCTGCGTGCGGGTGCGCGCCGTGCCGCCGCTCGGCCACGCGCGGGCGGGGGGCGGGGCTGCTCGGAGGCACCCCCTTGCTGCTCAGCAGGCGCGGGCCTCCTCTGCAGAGGGAGGGCCGGCGCCTTCTGAGAAGCAGCCTCCCTCCAAGAGGCCCCCCTCCCCTCCCTCCGCCCCCGCGTGCGCACCGCCCATCCGCTGTGCCGCCTCCCGCGCGCATCCGGCGCAGGTCTCCGCCGCCTCCGAGGCGGGGCCCGCCCGCCCCACCCCCGCGCGCGCGGCGTGCCTTGCAGCCCGCAGACGCGCGAACGGTGTGTTGGCTGACGGCGGCGTAGGAAGACCAACTGTAGGAAGGCGTGGGTCGTGGCCAAGCCAGTTGTGGGAACGCGCGGTTCGTGTCTTTGCCCACACTCCGCTGCGTCTCAGGGGGGAACGAAACACACAGACACAGTCAATCGTCGGCTCCCAGGAATAGATGGGAAAACATGGGAAGTGGGGGGGAAGACAAAAACCAAGAAAATATGGGAAAATATAGGGATCCTGTTATTTGTGTGTGTATCTATTTGTGTGCCCCAGGGCCCCTCCAGTGTCGCCGTCGCTCGATGCGTTTGCAGATTTGAAAAGGGTAAACCTGGCAAGCCGAAACCTGGAAAAACCTCAGCTGCTTCCGTGAGGAAGAGGCGCCCGAGCGCCGAGGCGCACATCAGATGCCAGACACGTCGCGACGTCGATGCAGGAAACGGTGCTTCGTGGTTCCCTGCCGGTTGTTTTGCGCGAGCTCGGTGCCACGAACACAATATTCCCAGCCGCACCGTGAATCAAGAGCACGCCGTCGGCGCGGCCTCGGCGCAGCCGCGCGCCCAATCCCAGAGGTTGCTAGAGTCGGACGGGGCCAGACCGAGGCTCCCGCCAGGATGTCACGTCACCCGCGCCGAGCCCTCCCCTATAGGACGGGGCTGGGGCGAGGATAACTCCGTTCCAGAGCGTTCGGGAGCGCTCTCAGAGCGCACCCGAATGCTCTCCCGAGACATCCTCAGGAGCCGCCGGATCTCAGAGACTTCTCGATTTGCCCTCGTCCTGGCTTCGTCTAATGGAGGTGCCGGTTCAGCCACGCGCAGAGGGGGGATGCGGGGAGGGGAGAGGCTTCTCAGGAGGGGGGATGCTTCTCGGAAGGCGTGGGCCTGATCTATAGATGCAGCGCTGGCGCCCTCTAAGAAGCAGCCTCCTTCCAAGAAGCATCCCTCCCTCCACCCCTTTGCGCGGGCCGCCAACAGTCTGGAGGAGAACACACACACACACACACACAGACACATGTTCGTCGAATCCCCAGAAAGTAGGGAAATGTAGGACGTGGGGGGGGGAGGACGAAAATGCAGAAGATATTTGGAACTCTGGTGACTCCGGGGATTTGTGTGTATTTGTTTGTGTGTCCCTGGACCCCTTCAAAATGTGCGCCCCAGCTTCTCGCTGAATTCTTGAGCCCCAGGGGGCCTGCTGGGCCTCGTGAGACGTGCTCCTGGAGGCCGAGGGGGGGGGCCCTCGTGGAGATCCTGGGGGCCCCTTGGGCCAGGGGCACTTCTGGCAGCTCCCGGCCGACCACCGATCCACAGACGCGGGGGCGACTGCCAGCGTCGTCGGCGTCGCCGAACCCTGAGAGCTCCTGGCGCTGTAATTTTCTGTCGCAGCGGGCGGCTTCGCTCCACCTCGAGCCCTGCGGGGACCCGCACAGACCGGTCCGCGGCTCGACAAATGATGCAGGAGGCTGGGGTCCGGGGCTCCGGTCGTGATTTTTTCCTGCGACGTTGCAGTGCCGTTTTTACTACATGCTCCGCGTGCGGATCATGTTTTAAACAATGCAGGGATTTTGCATTAAAAAAGCAACGATGAGTTCATGCATAAATTGATTCATAAGTTAAGCATGCATTAAACATCATATATGTTCAAAACTCCCGTGTATTAACAACTGCCCTATACACTGTTCTGCAACGCCGGATCTCAGGGAATCGGGGGCATCCAAGGGAGGGGGGAGGGCTGTACCTTCAACCCGCATAGTGAGGATGGGCATCCTTCCGGGGCTTCCGAGACCAACGGGAGACCAACAGGAGGAGGAGGAGGAGGACGATGACGACGACCAGGGCAATCAGGAGGGAGGGGGACGCGAGCGGTAATGCCCAGGGCTGTGGGGCTGTGGATCGTGCACAGCAGTTCTCCTCCTCCTCCTCCTCCTTCTCCTCCGCCTCCTCCTCTTCCTCCTCCTCCTCGGCTCTCTCCTCGGCTCTCTCCTCGTCCTCCTCCTCCTCCTCCTCCGCCTCCTCCTCGTCCTCCTCCTCCTCCTCTTCCTTCGTGCGTCGCTGTGGGGGGCACTGGCTGGACAGTTTCCCCCCCCCTGGCCTCGACCGTCGTTGCCTGCCGCAGGACGGCGGCCCCGAACTCTGGTGTCTCGATGAGTTCGGGGCGACCGAGGGCGTGCTTTCGGCTTCGAGCCCCATACCTCGCAATCCCGTCTTGGTGACCGATGATCTGGCGCCAGTTTCGCGTCGATGGGCATCGATGAGCATCGGCTAGCGTAGATTTCGTGTCGACGAGCGTCGATTAGCGTCGATTCGCAAGAGCCGGAAAGATGCCACCGAGCACTCCGAGTCCTGTGCCCGATCGTGAGCGCCAAGGGCCCACAGGCAGCAGCCCCACGGCGCGAGGCCCATGGCCAAGGGGCGGGAGGCAGGGCCCTGGCGACCCCTTTTTTGCCAGAGGCGTCCGGGGCGTCGGAGGCGGAGGAGGAGGAGGAGGAGGAGGAGGAGGACGAGGAGGAGGAGGAGGAGGAGGCCCTTTCACAGGGGCGCGGATGAGGAGGAGGAGGAGGAGGAGGAGGACGAGGAGGAGAGGAGGAGGAGGGGAGGAGGCGGAGGAGGAGGAGGAGGAGGAGGAGGAGGAGAGGAGGGGAGGAGGAGGGGAGGGAGGGGAGGGGGAGGAGGAGGAGAGGAGGAGGGAGGAGGAGGAGGAGGAGGAGGAGGAGGAGGAGGAGGAGGAGGAGGGAGGAGGAGGAGGAGGAGGAGGAGGAGGAGGAGCGGAGGCAAAGGGGGTGGAGGAGGAGGAGGAGGGAGGAGGAGGAGGAGGAGGAGGAGGAGGAGGCCCTTCCACAGGGGCGCGAGCAGCTCCGCTCAGCACCCCCTCGTGGCCTTGGCTGGGGAGCTGCTGCTCCAAAGGGCAGCACAGGAGCGCGAAGCGCTGACTTGGAAAGCGCACCTGGAAGCAGGACGCCTGCCATCGTGTGCCCACGTCCCATGGGCAGGCAGGAGGGGGAGAACGAGAACAGGATACTGGGACGAGGGAGAGGATGAAGGAGGAGGAGGAGGAGGATGAGGGGATATGGGTTGTAGTTGGACAGATGAGGATCGGATACAGACAGCCTCTAGCTTCTCGATGGAAGATGGGAGATTCATCACCAGTCACAAGACCAGGTGTTGCTCCGAATGTTGTGTTGCTCCACCTGTCCTCCCATGTCGCGCAGACTGGCGGCACGACTATGGGGCACATGGGTTGCGAAGTCTGGTAACACATCGGTGTGAGGTGTGAGAGAAGAGAGGTGGGTGGGTGGGGTCATTACGGGAGGCAGGGTAAGTGATTAGTCAGTGGGAGATTTGTTCACATCTTCCTCCCCCTCGTCCGCCCGTGCGTTCGGGTCCATGAAGCGCATTTAGTCGTTCATTCCTCCTCCTCCTCCTCCTCCTCCCTCCTCGTCCTCTTCTTCCTCTTTTTCTGTACCCTCCTTATGCTACTCCGTTTCTTCCCTTCTCTCGCTCTCCTCCTCCTACTCCTCGCCCACCCCCCTCCTCTTCCTCCTTCTCGTCGTCCTCCTCCTCCTCCTCCTTGACCCCCCCCCCCTCCCCTCCCTCTCTCCCTGCTTCCGTCCTCCTCTCCCTCATGCTGTCTCTCCTCCATTCTTCGTCATCCTCCTCATCCTCCTCACTTCTTATGTCTCCCCCCTCCTCTCTCCACCCTCCCTCGCATCCCTTCCCCCCCACCTCTTTCCGAGGAGGGCATCAATAAAAAACCAACCGTGTGACGGATTGTGGTTTGGTTACCCGCTGTTCTTCACGTTTGGATCCCGCTGGCAGCGTCACGATCTCGCGATTGTTCTTGCAAGGAGCGGGACGTGAGAAGGAAGAGGAGGTGGAGCAGTATGCGTTTCAGGCGGAAGAGGAGCAGAGCAGCAGGATAATGACGAAGAGGAGGAGAAGGAGAAGGAAGAGGTGCAGGAGGGGGACGAGGTGCGGAAGAGGTGGGAGGGTTTGGAGGGGATTGCATCATCATCCTCCCTTCTCCTCATTCTCTTTCATCCCACCATCACTCCGCCCCCGTTTCTCCTCCCTCGAGACCCTTGCTGCTCCTCTCGGCGTTGGCACGCAGTGGCTCCTCCTGCCCGCCGGCACTGGCAGCCCACCAGAACCCCCGACGCCCCTTGACGTTTTGTTGATCTTGAAAACGCTCGGGCGTTTTGCATTTGTTGGTTCAGCATTCAGCCAAACGAAACAAACAAGGCGGAGTCGATCTGAACACGGCGAGTCGAGAATCTCTAGTTGAACGGAAATTGGTTCCCAAAATTTACGGTGACCCCGACGGTCGGACGCCACATGAGAATCTTCTTGAGTGGTTTCGAAGTCACCCTCATCGTCGTCCTCGTGATTGTGCAGGCCTTCTTCCTGTCTCCCTCTCACCCTTCCCCCCCGGCTCTGGCGGAGGCTTTCTTCCCGTCACCTGCTCTGCTTCCTTCTTTTCCTCCTCCCCCACCTCCTCACCATCATCCTCTTGATCCCCCTTCCTTCACCTCTTCCTCTTCCTATTTCTCCTCCTCCTCCTCCTCCTGCCTCTTCTCCTCTTGAATGTCCTCCCCCGCCCCTGTTGCGCCGTCGCGCATGTGTTTTGTCCCCAGCGCCGTCGCCGCCGCAACCAGCTGGGGCGTGCCCTGCGACAGCCAGAGCGCGAAGCCGTTGGGGCAACACCGCGGGCCATTTCACTGCGATACTTCCCGGGGGGCCGCTGGGGCGCTTGATCAAGCCGTTGGGACAACGCCGGAACCCAACAAGAGCGATGGTTATGGAGTTTGGATGACCGGGTCGGGTTGCTAACAAGTTTTGGCGGCCCGAGCATAGGGAAGAAAGGGGGCTCCCCCCTGAGACTTCCTCACAGTTCCCTCACAGACGAAGCTCCCGTTTGAAACTTTATCCAGGTCCGCGCCTCAGGAGCCCGACAGTGTCAACAGTTACAGGGTTTGGGTGGCCCAGTCAGATTGCTAACATGAGGGCTCCCGCTCGGTTTCGGTGGACCGGTCGGTTTGGAGAGGGCGGCCTCCGCTTGAAAAGTCCTGACAGTCAATCGCAGACGAGGCCGCCGTGCGAAACATCTCCCAGATCCACTTTCAGGAGCCCCAAA